GCACGGTCGAGTCTCTAACTACTTAATAGATACTCCGTTGTCCTCAGCCCTGCAATATTTGCCTGTCAAGTATACTAAGTAGCCTGATCTTTCTTATTCCTCGAAGGTCTTTTTCCCTCCTCCCATCCTCTGTGTTTGCTGTTTGCTCAAATTGTTTAAACGTGGAGCTCAATGACAGGCTATTAGCGCTGACTGGAGCCACACATAATGTGGCCACATGTTGTGTAAGCTTCACAACTTGTCTGCTAATTCGCCTCAGGCCTGACCTGAAATACCCCTGCTATTCTAGCTCTTAGCCCTTCCCCAGCACAGACACTCATGCTAACTCCTATGACACATTGGTGAGGTCTTTGATTTGGGGCCAAATCCTGCCTCGCTTTGTGCCAAAGCTTGTGCCGCGGCAGCGAGTGAATCTGCCAGAGGAGCAGCACAGAGCCAGCGGTGCTGAGGGGATGGGGATGAGGATAGCTCTTCTTCTTCTCCTGCAACCCATCAGGAGTGAAAGCCCGCGGCTACAGCTCTTCTTCTTCTCCTGCAACCCATCAGGAATGAAAGCCCGCGGCTACAGCGCATTGGGCAGGCGGTGCACAAGGCACTGCCCTCCCTCCTCTGCCCATGGCTCTGTGAATCCCACTGATGGGCCGCTGGGGAAAGTACCATTTCCACAGAAAGTCCGCAAGCAGAGGGTGCTCTCTCATTCTTGTCATTAGGCTCTCTGATGCCACTGTGCTGGGTACAAAAAGGGGGCATATTTAATTAAAGTTGGGGGAGGGGAGGGGGGAAAGAGCAGTCCATTTAGGAAAAAGGATAATGAAATACATACTAAGGAGCTCAGAGAGTGTACTCATTAGAAGAGGGGCTTCTTAGGCAGCAGACAAGTGAACCTAGAAGGATCCAAGCCATTGAAAGTGAAAAGACTGATGCAGATGTGTTGCACTGGTATCCAAAAGGGAAATCAGTTGGCAAAATGGATTTCAGAACTGATTAGGAGGAAGAGTGCATGGTAGATAAGGCAATAGGATTGATGAGTTGATATGGCTGATTGGCAAATGCAAATACATAGAGGAAGCCTTAAAAAGGCAATGGAAGCCCCAGCAACAGTATATAAACAGTGTTTTAAAAGACTGTAAAGCCAAGAACAGACTAGAAAAGGGGAATATGAAAGTTTTGGGAGTGTGGAATTTAGGATAACATGGACGAGTAAAGTTTAGTGAAAATTAGAAAATTATGAGCAAGTAGCACAGAAAGAAAAAGAATAAATTTGAAAGATCAGGAGAGAAAGATTTTAGAAGTGAAAAGGGAGTGGTATGTAAATTAAAATATTGGGTCACATTAAAAACATGGTCACAGAGAAAAGTGGGGGGAAGGGAGCAGGAGAAGCATACACACAATTTGCAGTCTGTGTTCATCTCTTTAGAAATACTTTTAAACCTTCCAAAATGTGGAGAGCTTTGATAACTGCAAACCCCAAGATCACTATTTTGGTGTATCCTTCTTGATCCTATTGGATGAGAAATTGGGAAGATCTTTACCATTCCTATTTTGTGAATGCACTTTCCCACTCATGATTTTTAAGTTGTAGGAAGAACTCTAGCCCCATTTATTCTTCTTTCTGCATCCTGTCACCCTGAAACACTTCCAGTATTCAGTTCCACATGTATTTCAGACACCGAGACTCACAACATGATCTTTTCAGATCTTTGTTGAGCTTTTCCTCATTCACAAACTGAATTCCCTGACTCCAGGAGATACGAGTAGCAGGGGAGGCCACATTTTAGCCCTAATAAGCTGCTGCAAACATCTTTCCCCATTAAACTGTGATTTATTTTTTTTTCCTGCAGATGAAGGGTTGTTTTCAGAAGCACTGTAATGATCTAAGGGGGTTTATTTTCCACTTCAGTTTATGACCCATATTACAAATGTAGGCTGTAAAACCTTCAGTTGTTACCATGTCCAGAAAGTTTCTGGCAAAGTCATCATCTGTTTCATAAAGGTGAAATTTGCTGTGGACAGATGAATAGTTTTTCTAGCTGAAGCATATAATTAGAGCAACAGAATTTTCATGTAAATTTCTCCCCTGGGAATAATGAACAAATATACAGAATTTAGCATGCCATGCCAGACCACGGGCTAAGGACAGATGTTCAAAAGATCTCCAAAAAATTGAAGCCAGGCATATAAAAACAATTTAAAGTTGATGTAAGCAAGTCTGTGACAAAGACTGTCTTTCCTTGAAATGTGTGTACAGAGTGTGCAGTGCTTTAATTTACATAGCAAATAGATGTTCTCATTTATATAATAAAGCTTCAAAGTTTGAATTAGAAAAGTAAGCTTGTTTCCCTTTGTGCTGTACAAATATGTGTGCTAGAGATGGACCTTATTTCAAAGAATGTGTGAGTAGTTAAACAAGAGAGGCAAACTCAGAAGCTGAATACAAGCAAAATATCTTGTTAGCTCCCTTAGAAATAATGGTGCTTCTTCATCATTTCCCCCTACTCATTTCAGTCGTGCCAAAACTAGCCCTGCCTGTCACAACTGCATACCAAGCATCCTCTGTCACCCCCACAGCAAGGATTTAGCTGGGGGGGAGATGTGTGTTAATCAACAGGATTCTTCTGCAGTTTGTTTTGGGTTTTTTTCCCCTTCTGAGGAGCAATTGTCTTTCTCAGGTCTGGTATGAATAAAAAGAAAGAGTAAAATCAGTATAGCTGACATCAAAAAACTAGAGACAGTTTGGGTTTCTTTCCAAAACGCAAGGCATCTCACCCCTGAAAACTTTTGCTTCTGTCTAGTAGTCTTGCTTTTCTCCATTCAGGTTAGTTGAATGTTAAAACTGATTTTCAAAGATTCTCTTTCTTTTACCCTAGTCAGCAGAGAACTGACTCAGCATCCCAACAACAATGCATTTAGAGCGGGAATTAGTTTTGAAAATGTTGTTTCAACTCTGTGAGAGACCATGGCAACAAAGATAGGATGAAGATCTTTGAACAAACCTTTGAATACTGTTTAGAAGGAGGAGAATGGATAGGAAAAGAGAGGGAAAGAGAGTAGGATTCATTTGCTTCTTAGTGATGCTACATTTTAAGGGGCAGTACTAATTCCTATAATAGATTTCACTCCTGGGCAAAGAATGCTATGGAATAGCCCCGAATGAGTGCCACTTCCCATTGAGATAAAGTCTAGGGTTGTACTGAGGGGTTTTTACACCGTGTTTGTTTTGACAAGTAGATTCTTTTGCTTTATCTCTCTTAAACAAGAGAAGTTTTAAGGCTGAAAGATTTGAGCCCTCTGAGAAATCAAAACTTCAGTCTTTGAGCTTGTGCTAAGTATATTTACTCAAGATTTATGACAAATCCCACAGAAGTAAGGAGAATGCTTAATACAATTCAAATAAGCTGGAACTTACCATCTAAATAAGAGCTAATCTACTGCCTGCCTGTGCTTCTCTAGGAAGGGACACCACCACTCCCAGTGTAAAACAAAAGAGGACTTTAGGGAAATAGAAGGTCTGAAAATCCTCATAGTCTATTCATGGGTTGTCTCCTTTTAACTGACATTTCAAAAGTTATGCCCGCTCATGACAAATGCACTTTTCAGGTTTTGCATTCTTTTTATGATTTTCAGTCTGTGCTAAGAAAATCCTATAATACTTTCTCTTGCTCTAGCTATAAACATGGAAGAATTTTGATCAAAGGAGACTGTTTTAACAGCTGTGTTTCAAGGCAACATATGCAACTCTCTTGGCAGCTTCAGCTTATAAGGTTTGAAGAAAGCAGAAGTATTTGCAAAGTTTTTGCATGTTTGAATTATACAAAATATTGAATATATTGGCTTTTCTTGGTGTTTTCTAGGACCTGAAAGCCATAGTCAGGTGATAAAAAGGTCCCTGCAGCAGGAACACTTTTTTAGTTCAAAGAAATCTAAATGACTGTGATTTGGGTTTTTTGTTTTTGTTTTTGTTTGTTTAGGTTTTTTAAAGTGATCATAACCTGCCTTATCCAGCTATTTGTCATCAGAAATAAAATTTTATTTTCATGGATAAATGTGGTCTGGGATTAGTTACAGAAGAAAAGGAGGGACTGTTGCTCTTTTTTCCTAGACAGGGAAGAGGGACTCCCCTCCCATTACTTTTCACAGCCAGGGAAATGAACACTTCCATTATGCTGGACAATGTGGAGCAGAAGTAGCAGGTGGTGATTGCTACCAATCAGGAAGTTAAGTAATAGCCATACTTGAACACTTTCTAAAGGATTACTGTTTATGGAAAGATTTGTCCCCTATCTGGGCACCACTGGAAAGAAAACAGAGTGAGGAAGGTGAGAAGATTAGTTACAGATTTCCCATCCTCTCCCCAGCTCCGCACACGCTACACACACTGCCTGCTGCCCTCCCTTTTCTGCCACAACCTGTTTAAACGATTCCAGCAGACAACCAATAAACCCATAAGAATAGATCCTTCACTTAATCCTGTCCCTGCTCCTCCATTCCTGCTGAAGAAAGCCAGCCTTTGGCTCTGCCCTGGCTGGTGCCCCTGAGAGCTGTTACTTGGCTGATCAAAAGGGACATTGATTTACCTGGACTGGGCTTATAAATAGAAGTCATCTTTTTTTAACAGCATGTATTGTCAGGAAAGGGAAAGGAAGCTATTACTGCCATTTTTACTCTAGGAATTACTCCATTATTGTCTGACAGATGCCAATAAGTATCCTGGATTTGCCTAAGAGGTGTGACCCTGTGTCACAAACCCTTCACCATAAGGTACCAGAGTTCATTCTCCAACACAGAAAAGTAACATAATGGTTTGGATTGTAAGGGATCTCCAGAAATCCATCACTTCTATAGGATGGACAGGGACATGTTTCACTAGATCAGATTGCTCAAAGTCATGTGAAATGACGCTGAACAGTTCCAGTGATGGAGCTTCCATAGTTTCCTTGAGCAACATGTTACAGGGTCTCACCATTCTCACAAAACAAATTCTTCCTTATATTTACCTTCTTTCACACTGGTCCCACTGATCACCAAATCTTGTTGGCCTTGTTACTGAAGACAGGATAAATCTTCTGAATCCTCAGGTAGCTGAGAGTTTGAGTGGCATTGTTACACACCTCTGGTTTTTCCGTCTCTGGCACTTCTCTCTGCTCTAACATTAACAATGACTCCTCATCCAGATGCAAAAGCAGATCAAATTTGATATACAAACTCAAGCCCCAGCACTGCAGAAGCCATGAGCTTCTTAAATATCCTTTAAGCTCACAGGTTGCCCTCAGGACCCAGGGAAGATTAGGAAGTGAAGCCCTTTGCAGAGCCAGAACCCAGCAGCCATCCCATTAAGCTCACTGCTTTTCATTCAGGGAGGACAGTAAGTGATGGACACGGAGTGATTCAGCACTGCCCCACATCTTGCCAAGGGGAGGCTAACTTACATTTATTTTATATGCCTTCTTGAATTTGTCCACAGGGCATATCATTCTTCTATGCTATGAGCTGCAGAGTTTCAGGTCTCCCCTCTGGACTAATGCAATTTATACAAATTAGGTATGACCGCTGGACTTTGTTATACTGCCAGCATGTCCTGGAAGCATAAAAGAATATCCTAAAGATCACCAAGTACAGACCCCTCTGAATTTGCTATAATTCCTCCAGGACAAAACCTTCTTTTAAATACTGTTTGTTCCAGTCATTTCAGTGCCACTGTTTGCTTTTTTATCTGTTGACATGGAGGCTTAGCTTCCTCAGAACATTTTTGTCTGAAAGATCATTATTTTCTTTTCCAAGCATCCTATGAACAGACCAATTGTACTTCATCAATTTTAAATTTTGACTGTCTGCCAACTGCTTTCAAATCTAAAGCCAATCAAAATTTAAGGAGATTCAGGAAACGCAGAAAGAGGAGTATATCCACTTCAAAAAGGTTACCCAACTGTTTGTTGTTGTTGTTACATTTTGTCTCAGGCTTTATAATGATGGCTTTCAGCATTTTGGCTCTGTTTTTGTGTCCTTGTTTAAAAGTCAGGGCTGTGCCTGCCCTTCCCGAGGCTACAGACACACAGTGGGCTGCTGTGCAGTTCATCATTCACAATCAAGCCTCTGCTGACTCCAGTCTGACACATTGCCAAGAAAGATGCCTTCTGCATTTATTTGGAGGGACTTCACTTTCACAGCTGCTGTTTATAATAAAAATTATATCTTGCAAACATCATATAATGTCAGTGGGTTTTTATGGGCATCAAATTTTGCTTGTTTAACAAACTGCAAATAAACCTCATGTAATTATATCTGTTAGTTACAGATATAATTTTGAGTAAAACCCTAACCTAGCTGTAAGCTAGCTGGGAAATAATAAATACTGTCAGTACCTAGAATAACTAAGAACCAATGCTACTTAGCTTCTCAGATATGAAATGATTCATGCTGTAACACCTCTGACATCAGCATGACCCTGGGAGGATCAGTCTGCTGAAAGTTTTCTCCTAAAAATTGGAAAATTCTACTGACATGTGACACTGTCACATGACACATATGACACTGTGTAAAAAGCTGCTGCTGTATCTCAGGCTTTTAATGAGGGGTCTGTATCTTTTTTACATGGGGTTTATATCTTCTGAGGCCATCACCTTCAAGAGCAGGCCTGCCACCCTTCATGGTCATTGGAAAACTTTCTACCAGTAGGAGGCAGGGGCAGATGGCTTCCTGCTTTTTGGTGACACTTTGATTTCTGTGTTCTGCCATACAGGCATCCTACAGAGAATTTGAAAAATCTGTGCTTTCCTGTAACTAAATCCTCATTTTTTGTTATTCAAACTAATTAAATCCATATCATATGGACAGTTTTTATGTTTTCAAAACTACTGGTCTTTGAAGTTTTGATTGCTTTGATATATACTAAGCATTTCAGTGCTATTTACCTGAAACTGAAAACTTTACAAAAATACTGGTTTTTGAATGTTTGAAGAGTTGCTTTCCTCTTCCTGTCAATGTTAGGAATGGTTTGAAGATATTTTGTCTGTGACAGAAAAACAAAGAGTAAAAAGTTATTGCAACTCACTTAAATATGACAGGCTTTTGCCACATTTTTCACATTTAATAAGAGTGTGAGAAAAGACAGAAGACTAACATTACTGGAACAGAAGACTAACATTACTGGAGGTTTACCTATGAGCAGTACAGAAAATGAATGCTGCCATTGCTACAGTGGTCAAAGGTGACAATACACGCTTATGGGCTTTCTTTTTGGGGCCCTAGAAAATAAAAAGTAACCAAGGAAAATATGTTAATTTTGTGCCCAATGTATTTGGGTAGTGGCAAGGCAAAAGGAGGGCTAGGACACAGTCTCAGTTGTGGTAAATCAGGTTTTGTATGCAATAGACAGACATGTATGATGTATGGAATTAAAGTAAAAACTTACTTTTCAGAAATTGGCTTAAGCCATAAGACTGTATCTGTTTCCTTGGGGAGAAAAGAAGAACCACAACCCACTGCTCTCCTTCTGCCAAACTTGAAATGAGAAATGTTGCCTAGGGGCCACTGTCCTGGGGAGAATTGCTAGGCTCTGGAACTCAGCCTCAGAGAGAGGAGATTAACTCAGGCTGCAAGGAAGAGTCTGTGTCTCAGAGATGGCTGGATTACATCCATACCTCTCTCTGGTGTTCCCAGGGTGTTGTGTTCAGCTTCTCTCTAGTCAGTCTGCTCAAAGTTACAAGTCCCATCCAGGTACTCCTAATTCTCCCCTCACAATGTATTGCATTTTTTTTCTGCTGGGACTATGGTGTCTAACTCAAGAATTTAACTCTGGAAAACAAGATTAAAGTCATGAGTGACAATGAAGAATGTAAGTTTTGTGTTTCAGGCTATATGATGATGATGTAGATCTGCTGTGACTGTAGACAATTCATTTTCCTAATAAATCAGTCTAACTTTTTTCATGTTTTCTTAGTGTTGAAAAAAGAAATTGTGGAAAAGTATAAAATGTCTAGGAAAGTGAAGGGTGTGTGATTTTAGTTATAGGTTAATTTTTAGTATAATAAATGAAATTTGAATGGCTGTGAAGTACCTCCTAAGGAAGTATTCCTGTATTTAAGCTGAGAGTTTGTAGGATGCCATTTTGAAGTGCTAAGTTGTAAAATGCTTAAAATGGTGATTTATAGAAGTCTAAACAACACCCAGAAGGAGAGGTTTTTTTTCCCCTAGAATTAATGGCTTTGTTTGTTGGTAAAGAAAGCTTTCCTTCTCTTCCAGAAGCTTTGTGTAATGTGAACAGATTCTGTACAGATGAGACAGAATGCTGGAGGAACAGAAAGGTTTGGTTTGTTTTCTTCGGAAGTCAGTTTTATGTTTTTCCAACAGAAAACTACCAGATTGTTTGGGCTCTTGTTTGCTTACTTCATTGCTGGGTTTCTATGCTCTTGTCCTCCTGGCAGATTTCTTGTTCCTTTCCCTATTGCTGTCTTTCAGAATTTTGGTAGCATCCTTAAATGCCGTAACATGGTTTAGACAAAAGAGCAGTGAAGCACCAATTGCAGGAAAAGTCATATATGATTTTGTAGTGTGCAGCACAGGGTTCTTGTCTAACTGCATTGCCAGGCTAACCAATAAGATAAAAAAAATATAGCTTTTAATTTTTAAATGCAGGGCTGTTTCAATCAATATTCAGTATATCCTTGTTAAATGACGTTTTGTGTATATACACCTCTACAGGGTGTATTATAAACCTATTAACTGTATGAGAAGTCTTAGCCCCATTTTACATCTGTGGGAAGTACAAAATGTGAATTTACATGTGGCTTAGGTAGTTGAGAGTACAGCATATCTGGTGGTGACGCGTGATGAGGTGAGCTCCCTGTACTCACACACCGCAAAAAAAGTGTGAAACCCACACCTACAACCTTAATGGAAGCTGAGGTTTGCTAGCCTGCATGGACCACCAGTATCATCTAAAGAAGAAAAAAGAAACAAATGTTTAAGTCATTGAGCATCCCACCCACGCTCTGCCCATTAGTTCCACTCAGCCTGTACTAACGCTGCAGTTGTGCACCAGCAGCGTGCTCCCACCATCTGCCTAACCCCAGAGACACATGTGGGCAGCTTATCTTCAAAGATGAATGCCAGCTTTTAGCCACAGCACTAACAGCTGCATCAAGCCAGAGAATGGAAAAATAGATCTCCCAAGTTCCTCTTCTTCCATAAAAGACCAAATGACCTGAGCTTGACAGTGTTATTTTAAATGAAGACTCTTGCTCAGATTTGCCTATATGTTCCCTGTTTATTTATAAAATGTGCCATGCAGCTGATTATAAGAGCATCAACTATGGTGTGAATCTGTAGTATATATTAGTAGATTAATGTTTTTGACTTGCCTAGTGGAAATGAGGAATACTCTATAGAAGTCAAAAAATGGGAAAACAACCCATAACAATTCACAAAATCTTTAGCATTCTCCTCTTAGTACTCTCCTCTTACTACTGTGAGCTGTTTGAAAATCATTATGGACTTGTCTCCTTAACCTCTTGTAAGTGTACATTTATAACATTTTATAAAAAAATTAGGGCAGAGGGATAGAATATTTTTATTCCAATGTAGCCCATCCAGCAATGAGAAGTGTTACATTGCTTCCTGCTTACCTGTTGTGAAACTGATGTATACCAGAAAGGATAGAGTTACCTGAATTCCTACAGGGAACTGACCTGCTGGCAATGTTCTTCCTGCTGTACCCCAACATGCCACAATTCTCCTCATGAAAATGTAGGACATATAGATGCTGAATGCATAATTACCTGCCACAGAGAATAAGGATCTCTCAGAGCAGTCATTTTTGAAACAAAGGTAAAAGTGTTTCTCACTTTTTGAAGGGAAATCCCATTCAGCTGCATGTGTGTGACTGTGGTATTATTTGGTCGTGAATAGCTCATAGTGCTGTGAGCTCACAGTGATTTTACAGCTACCTGCTCACCCACCCTACAGAGCCCTGCACATGTAGGCTATGTGTATTTTGTGTATTAACACAATATATGTATTCTCTGTACAAGTGGTATTTCCAGTGACAAACTTGCAAATATGTGATTATACAGGCAAGCTCAGTGCCTGCAAATAACCAAGAAAAACAAGATGAACAGAGATAATACTTTGCTAAGTGATTCTTTTCATCTTAACCCCTTCTCTTTTTTTCAAAGCTCCATTTTTAGCCATTCACATGGTAACTACAGATATATGACTGGGTGCTAGGAAGATAAAGGGCAGGTAGAAAACATTCCTCTGATCTTTTTTTCCCCTCCATCTGCAGAGGGCCCTGGAAGAAGCAGACAAAATAAACAAAATACACAGATCCACTGCCTGACTGTCTTTTCTCAGTCATGACTACCACCATGCTCTTACTGGTGTTTCCCAAAGAAACCGTGATTAACCCACACATCCACATCCAGTATGTCTGCTTGGATAACACACTTTTATTTTTAAATTGAGGTTATACTCTCCCCCACACCATCAGTGACTAACCACAAGGCCCTTTAGATAGCTTGTTCATCTGTACATTAACAGGATGTTAACCCTACACTTTCCCCAAGAATCACTTATTCTCCCACCACTCCCAACCCACTTGATTATGTAAGACCCTCCCTCTCCTTGTTTGCTTTGTGGAAAAAAAAAAAATAAATAAGGAACTGAACCCAGCTGCTTCTTGTTTCTGAGGTAATTGCCAGCATTTCCACAGCTGCTTCAGGGGTGGGTTGAGGTTTTAAGTGGCTGGGGTGGCTTTTCTTTTTCCCTTGTGCTTAGTTTCTGACCTTGTACAGTGATATCTACTGGCAAAGCAATGAGGACCTCCCTGGTGATGTGAAAGTGACTTGGTCCTAAGCAAGATTTTTCAGAAAGCAGGAAAGGATTCATCACATCTGCAGCAGAAAAGGTACAGGTTAAGGTTTTATTGTGAGGTGTATATGCTAACTTGTAATCAGACACACATGCCATGTTTCTTTAGCAGGTTAACTTGCAAGTGTTTTAGAAGGCTTTTGGTCACCATCTGGATATAGAAGAAGCAATCAAACCTTGCCTGAATAACAGCGGGGAAATTGCTCCCTGATTATCAACGTGTACTGTGTGGTTTAAGTTGCATAAAATGCACTGAAAGAATTATCTCAAAACTGCAAAGCCAATCTGAAGACTGACTTAGCATTATATAATTGTGCTTCTAAGTGCATACTTGTTCTGGAGCTGTCTGGCAATTTATTGTTACATACTGTTTGGTTTTTTTTCTTCATCTGTGCTCAGAACACTCTAAAAAAGTATTTTATTCTGTTTAGCATAAAATCTTGTTTCATGTCAGAACTTTAGAGACAAAATCTGGTGTTCCCAGAAATATCCAGTAACTTTAACTGTATGGCTGTCTTTGCTCTTGCACTTACCTTGCTTCTAATGGCTACTTCACCATGGGACTCTGTGGCACTGCTAGAAAGTGCATCCCATGCACCAGAGGAAGGGCAGGGTCCTGTGGATTAAAAATAAAGACTACAAATATAGATTGTCTGCCACAGGAAGATTAAAGCTTTTAAATGATTTTGTATAAGAAATGGCTTGTGCTCTGCTGATTTGGAATATGGGCAGATCTGCTGTATGCCTCTGTATCCTTGCTCAGCAGAAATCTTAGGACAAGGGACACCGCAGGCCAGGCTATGTGAAGAAGCTTTGCTTACTCAGAGCTGCATGTACATCTGCAGCTGCTCTTTTTTTGCTGTTTAGCTTTGTAAAAATAAAGATAAGTTAATCTTCATCTCCAGAGACATGTAAGACCTTGCCTGAGTCTTTCATTCTTGAAGTTTAGGTGCCAGGGATGTCACAGTGTCAGAGCCACAGTCTGAGCTTTTTTTGGGGGGGTCACACAGTGCAGTCACGGTGCTGTTACACCTGGAACTGACAAAACTAAAGTGTGCCCAGTCATAAGTTCAGGCTGGTGTCTGCCTGCCTTGGGGCTGGGAAGTGGGAGAACCATGAAGAGCAATGCTCCTGTGGTTCACTTGTCTGAAATGGGGACTGACTGTGTACCTTTGTTATTTCAGTCCTGACTCTCTTCTGTCCTTGTTATTAAAAAAAACAAACCAAAAGGCAGAGCACATTTGGTTTTTGGTATTAACTTTAAGGGAAGCATGCCCTGAGAAATGGTTTGAGATTGAATACTGAAATTAAGAGTTACCATGGATGGTTTTGGGGAAAACTGATATGTTGTTCTCAGTCACAAATGCAAAGGCTCAGGGGAAGTCAGAGAGGTGCACTGGAGACCTGCCTGCCCCCCTTTTGTGTGTTAACTGAAAGGTTACTGATATACTCAGTTTTTATGGCACTGACGGGATGAAGGTGGGCATGAGTTTAAATATCACAACTGGATCATCTGACTGCTGGTTCTACCAGTTTGAGAAATAAACCCTGACAGAGAAGTGCAGTGAGTTTAGTGAGAAATTCTGATAAGAGAAGGTGGTGGTTTATTTTTCCTCTTTTAAAATACCAAAGACTTTTTCCTTGTCATCTCATTTCCCCCCCAGCTCTTAATAGCTCTGTGCATTGGTTTGTCTGCTTTGGAAAACAGAAGGGTAAAATGTATGTTTGTGCATGTAATTTATCTTAAGTACTTCTATTGACTTTAAATTATTATTAACAATTTTCTATGCATGGACTTCTATGGCCTTAGAAAAGAGTATTTTCTGCAGAGCCCTTACTTCTCAGTGGCTTGTGACTGTGCAATTTTGTTGTCTTTTCACAACAGAACACAAAATTGATATGGAACTCCTGATATTTGTTACACTGATTCATTGGTACCTTTTTGTACTGGGAGGTTTTCCAGGAACCATGCTTGTGTAAGCTTAAGCATTTCTGGAAATGATATAAACTACCTGATTACTTTAATTGATCCAGAAATGATCTGACTAGCATTGTGGGCTGGTGCCTTACCCTCTACTGCTTGTGGGGAAAAAAGGATTATGTACATGTTATAGGATGGCATCTTTTTAACTTTCACATCCCTCATGGGTTTTTTTTCCCTGCAGTAGCTGGGAACATAATCTGGTAATGTCTTAGTCACTGTCTGTGAGCTCGCTGCTTTGGGATACTTTAACAGATAAAGGAAAAGGAATTCTACTGTAGGTGAATGGGTGTGTTCTATTAAGTAAATCTATAAGAAATTACTTTCAGTTCAAGGTAATTTTAACATAACAACTTGGTAATTTATGTGTATAATTTGGTGGAAAAAAATGGAAATTACATTTTATAGATATGTAAAAAATCTAGGCCACAGCATAATTTAGTGCTCAAGTTTCCCTTCTAGTTGATTATTTTTGAAGACTCCAGCTACTTTAAGGTCTTAAAAGTTACTTTTCAAACTGTGCTTCAACAGTCTAGTTTTACATTGTTTGAAACTTTACCTAATGGGTATCAATATTACAAAAAAGTAATGATTATATATTATGTACTGTATTATATATTAGTCTTACCTATAAGCATAGAGTAAAGTAAATTCACAGGGATATCTAGTGAAACTTGTCATCTACTGTCTGTACATCTGTGTGAATCACTCTGCTTGAAGTAAAAGGCTTTCTTTCTCCAGGCATATGCAAATTCATCACTGGGCAGAAGAGGGAATTAAACTCCAGTACCAAAACTTCTCAAAGTACTCTCAAAACCTTGAGCACAGATGTACTCTCAAGCACAGTGTGCATCTGTCTACCAAGTAATTTTTTAGGTAAATGCCTACTTGGGAATAGTGCAGAAAAAGGCCTTTCAAAAAAAAAACAAAAAACCAAACCCTATGAACTGTGTAAATTTACTCAGCCTCTCCTATTTTTGAAATAAATTGCTTCCATGTGTGTTCTACTATTTCTAGGTGGACCTCCTGAAGCTATTCCAGTATAATTCACTTCCAACTTATATAACAGAGTAAAAATATCTCATCTGCTTGTATATGTCCAAACGGACTCAGAATTGTACATCCAGGACCACTTCATAAAGAAAACTTGGTTGAACAAAGAGAAACAGATGTTTCCTGCCTAGTAACATGAAGTGAGTTAGGGTGTTGGACGGACGTCCAGGATTGCAGTTGCTATGATATTCTCTCCAAGCAGCTTCAGGACTAAAGATTTTTGATTTTCAGCAGCTTTAGGAGGGGGCCAGCATCCAGTGTAGATGCAATTTCAAGAGCAGAATGTGAGAGGGGAGACAAGGATTACGAGGCCAAGAACCAGCAATAAGTGACTGTGTACATGGAGGCTTTGGCCTCGGTGTCAGTCCCTCGGGGTGCCCACCTCACCACACGGTGCCAAGGGCTCTGGGGTGGCACTGGAGCCTCAAGCACAGTGGCTCAGGTGTTGGTGCTGTTGGCATGCTGAGTTGTGGTGGTTTATCAGCTGCCAGTATCCAAGTGAAGTTACTGTAGGCTGCCTTGCATGTCTCCCCCTGACTAAAGGTATGCTGAGAGTCCTCAAAAATCCAGACCAAGACATTTTATGGCCACAGAAACAATAAAAGAAGATAAGGGTGTGTGTGTATATAAATAATGCAAAGGCCTCCTGTCTCTCCAAAATGCAAGGCAGCTGTGGCCTCTTTTGTGGCTACATGTTTTTCTTGTGGATAATGGTTCCTCTTTGCAGATTACTTCCCCCCCATCCTCCCAGGGCCAGTTCTGCGTCTTCTGGACCACTGTTAATATCCCAGTTTTCCAGTTTCATTTTACAAGCTAGACTAAGTGTCTGGAAACCGAGGTTCATAGTACAGGTGGAAATCAGGGTCCCCCACTTGCACAGAGAGTGCTACAGACACCTGTCTATATGCCACCCCCTAAGTATTCACTTGACAATGCT